ATTACTTTTTTTCCCTTTTGAGACAAGGCCCTGCTATTTGCCTAGGCCAGTATTTGCCTAGGCTGGCCTAGAACTCTCTATATAGCCCCAATTGGCCTTGAACTTGTGATGCTCTTACCTCTCTGCCTCCCAAGTGATGGAGTAACAGAAATGGACCACAGGGTCCCTAAATTCTAAACTGGCCTAAAATTTTCTGTATCTAGGATGACCTTGAACTTCCAATCCTCCAGTGTATACACCTCCACAGTGCTTCAAGTGCTGGGATTATAGGCATGTGCCAGCATGCCCAACTTCTAATTATCGCTCAGCACAGTTACACTGGAAATTAAATTTCAACCTGCATTTCAGTGGGAGCAAACCACAACCAAACCATGGCAACAGGCCTGTTTTATAAAGAAACCAGTGCCTGGCTCCTGGATCACGTCACAGAAACAGACAGACCTGGAAGCAGAAGAGGACTTGGGCTTAGCTGATGTAGGCCTCTGGGGCCAGCCTTAGAGTTACAGCCTGGCCCCACTTCTAGTGAGAGTCCTGTTTCCTATGTGCTGCTGTGTGATCAGCTGCCTCACACTCCCATCACCGTGGACCAAACCAGTCACTATACCTCTCCATGATGGACAGACAGTACCCCCACAACTGTGGGCCCTTAGGTTGCTCTGTCACATATTCAGTCTCAGCACAGGAAGAGTAACTAATACTGCTCCCCCCCCCCCCCAACAGTGAACTTCTTACTCACTCACGAACCCAAGCATTCATCTGGACATTTCTCACCACATGCCTAACACACAGCGGGTGCTGAGGATACACATGGCTGATGAACACAGCCATCGAGAAGCACACAGAGCTCCGTGGAAGCCGGACAATAAGCCTGTGACTACAGCTAGGAAGTCCTATGCAGGGTGAGCTGGAAGCTGCCTGGCCAAGGCATTTCCATTTTAGAGGCCTGTGCAAGTAAGTTCACCCAGTGGAGTACAAACGGATGAGAGGCGTCACTTCTGGGTCTAGATATATAAGTAGGCATGCTTTTCCTTTCTGCCAAAACACTGCATTAGAGAACTCTTAACCCTATGGCAGGGCTTGGCAAACTGGGAAGACAGCCACATGAATTCATTGCTCTGCTATCTGTGGCTGTTCCTCTGTTGCAGTGAGACTATACCTCCCACAGTCAAAGACACTTACTACCCTTTAAGAAAAAGCTGGCTGAGCCCTAGGTGGAGGAACAGGAGAGCAAAAGCCCAGGGCCCCTGAATTGACAAGTATAGGGGACCCACTTACCCACCTACAATACCCATATTCAGCTGTGTGCTCAAGAGACAAACTCCCAATGTTTTGCTCAAGTTGGCATTAGCCTAACTCATTTGGAGAGTAGGGCACGCAAGTCTAGTGAGAAACACAACACGGATGGCCAGGGTTGGACTTAGGACTCTTCTTATCACATTTGAAATTTTGTCACTGCTGACAAGTGTCTTCAAATGTCATTATCTTTAAAAATTATCACCAAGGGGGAAAAATGACCTCACTCAGAAAAACCAAGCTCCTGGGTTATTTACATTGGCAATCCATAGCCTGTAATAAACACCCTTCTAACCTACAGTAGTGTTCCTTCTCTACACGTGATTATTTTTAATTCATTCATTCATTCATTTATTTATTTTTATTTTATGTGCATTGGTGTTTTGCCTGTATGTATGTCTGTGTGAGGGTGTCAGAAGCCCTGGAACTAGAGTTACAGACAGGTGTGAACTGCCATGTGGTTGCTGGGAATTGAACCCAGGTTCTCTGGAAGTGCAGCCAGTGCTCTTAACCGCTGAGCCGTCTCTCCAGCCCCTCTACACTTGATTTTTAAAGGATTCATTTTGTATTTATGTGTTCAGGCATTTTGCCCGAATGGATGTCTGTGCATCACATACATGCCTAGTATCCTCAGAGGTCAGAAGAGGGCACTGGATCCCCTGGGACTGGAGTTATAGATGGCTGTGAGTTGCCATGTAGGTCTGGGAACTGAACCTGGGTCCTCTGAAAGACTAGCCGATGCTGAGTCACCTTGCCAGCTCCCAGTGTCCCCTTTTCTAAATAGCATGTTCAGCTAGTCCCTGAAAGCAGCGGTGTACACCAAGCAAGAGTTCAGGCTACAATCTAGTTACCCGTATTCGTAATGAAACCATTCTAAGCAAGCTATGGGCCAAAGTGGAAAAGAATTATTCAGATTATTTCAACCCAACCAAACCCATTGTGAGATATCAGCAGGGCGAGAACTGGATCTGACCTTGAGTTTGGGAGGTAGGATCTTTGGAAAGTGACTGAGATTAGATAAAGCCACCAGGCTGGGAGCTCAGGATTGAAATCTGGTGGTTCTGAAAGAAGACAGGGAAGACAGAGCACATGCTCACAGTGGCCCCTGTCACCCAGCAATGATGCCCCATGTGCCTCAGCACTCTGCCAGGAAGAAGGCCTTTCCCTGATAACTCTGGGCTAGAACCATGAGTTAAATAACAACTTCTCTTCCCTCAAACTTGTAAGCATCCTGCCTTTGCTTCCCAAATGCTGAAATGACAGGTGGGTCCCACCAAATCTATGTAATTAGCACCAGAAAACAGACTGACACACATACCTGTCACACTGCACAGATGTGGACAAGTAACACTGTGCCTCCATTCCTTCATGAGCACAGACCCGAACTGAGCAGGGCTGGGATACAGTTTGAATGAGACAACACACCCACGCCCAGCACCCCACCTTTACTGCTTCCCTCACCAGACGAAAGCGAGCCAACTGTAGTAACATTTAAATACCACTGCAGCGTCACCCTCTGGGTAGTTGGTAAACTGTCAGCCCACAGCAGGGACTGGATCAACACTAGAGACTGACTATATTACAATGAAGTTTTTCCTAGGACGAACCAACGCTCAAACGGTTGAAATCAAATGCTCCAGTCAGTCTATGGCTCTGGGACTAACAAACACCATTTTTCTTTGCTAAAATTACCACTAAGTCACCTACAGCACGTGTAAATCAGGTAGTCATAGCATCACCCTTCCAAAAGAGTGGAGCCACCTTCCGTGAGTCATTTCATTCCACTCCACATAGTCATGCTAAGCAAAGGGTGTCACATCCTCAAGAGCCAACACCAGCCTCCCTTAAAAAAAGAAACTGTCTCATAATGAACTGCCAGGAGGAAGAAGAGAGTCAGGCTGCAAGATACATGGTTGCATTAAATCACACGGAACAGTGGGTGGGTCTGTGAGGTGCAGACACAAATTCAGAACTGAAAAAAAACCTAGGATAATACATTAAATCAACACGGGTTTTGATAGAGAATAAATTTTTTCTTTGAGTTCCCTGTGTCTTTCTCTTGGACAAGGAAGAAAGGTACAGAAACCAGAAAACAACAAATAAAATCTTGGAAAGAGTACCATCCTACCCCAGGTGTTCTGTTTTGTTTTTCGTTTTATAATAAAGAAAGATCGTGTTATCATTTCTAGAGTATTATTTAGATAGCAGGGAAGAAAAATCTAGAAATTTAACAGAGACCAAACAAGCTTCTAACTTGAAGAGCTACAGGTTATGATCAAATAAGATTCAAAACTGCTCCAAGAAGACAGAATTCGTCTTGAAGACCTGTAAGGGCGGCAAGGGCTTCTCAGGCAAAGTCTGGGAATGAACTTTCTGCAGAGCGGTTCCATGGGAAGGGGGTCAGGGGTCACACTGGGCTCAAAACCCTGGGACAAAGAGAGTCCCTGTCTCATCGTCTGAAACTGGAAGCATCTAATGTCAACAGGAGACCGGTGTGGTTGACCTTGACAACTTTTATATAGCAGTGACCTTTAAACATTCCTGATTCTACACCTTATATAAGTATGTGTATAAATAACTCAGAAACTATATAAATGACAATTATAGCTTGTTTTAGATTTTAAATGTTTAACACATATTATGTGTGTGTGGTATGTGCACATGCATGTGTGTGCAGGTGCTTTCCGAGGCCAAACGCCTTGGATCCCCTGGAGGTGAAGTTAAAGGCAGCTGTGAACTGGCCTGACATGGGTGCTGGGACCCAAACTCAACTCTGCAGGAGTAACACCCGCTCTCAACCACGTCTCTCCAGCCCCAAATGTTTTTTTTTGCTATTCTGTTGTTTTGTTTTGAGACAGGGTCTTACTATATAGTTATGGCCTGGAATTCACTCTGCAGTCCAGGCTTGGCCTCAAATTACAGAGATCCTCCTGTGCCTGTCTTCCAAATGCTGAGATTATAGATGTGTGCCACCTCCATGCCGGGCAACAACTGTAGTTTTATGCTACAAATCTTACGAGGCATACACAACAGCCAGAAGTAAGTAAATGTAGAGAAATAAACAGAAGTCCCGCACCCCCAAAGATTATCCCAGAAAACCCTCCCCCAGAGGGAAACTCAAAGCCTGACATTATCTTCTCTCAGTGTGTAGAGACAAGCTGTCACCAAATGACATGACCTGGTCTCTTTCCTCTTGGCCCTCTCCTGCAGTTCTATAAGCATTGATCCTGATGCCAGGATCTCAAAAATATATAATCCTGCCAAACACGGAAGTGCATGCCTCTAATTCCAGCAGTTAGGAGGCAGGGGTAGATGGATCTCTATAAGTTCAAGGCCTGCCTGGTCTACACAGTAAATTCCAGGATAGCCAGGGCTACATAGTGAGACTGTCTGAAAAATAAGAATATAGAATCCTAACATTCAGCCAGGACAGATCCCCAAAATGTAGCAAGTACCTGGCTAACTGAAGGATAGAGCTAAGAAGGAACTAGATAGCAGTGTCAATTTCTGGGGCCATGGAGAACTTCAAAAAGCTACCCAGTAAACAGGTAATCATGATGTACAAGGCTTCCAGGGCAGTGTGGTGTCCTGGAGAACAGAGAGACTCCAAAGTCTTAAACACCCCCGATGCAAACACCTTTAGCCATCAGCTCAAAGACGAAGTTCACTCATTGCTAGCGTGCTTGACAGTGGCGGGAGAGACTTACCTTCAGTATTTCAGGCTCTTTGATGTCCAGGGATCTCGTGCTCCAGTGTCGCAGAGTTTTGTGTGATTTGTGGTATGTTTGAGCACTTGGTGGTGTAAAAAACCAGATCATGCAAACAGCAGTCATGAACCCAAGGCCAATGCCCAGGAAGAGTCCACTCATGTAGTAGGGGAGGGGGAGGATGAGGTACGCATAGACACACATTATAAAGAAGCCCAGCGTCTTCACTGGTAACTCCTGGAGCTGGGTGGCCGAGTCCGCTTCGTCCTCGCTGTCCAGAACCACGCCATCGTCGGCAAGCACCTCTGGCTTGAGGGGGACATCCAGGGGCTTGTCAAGTCTCCCCTCGCCCTCAGTCTCCAGCTCAAAGTCCTCAGTGTACAGTTCACAGAACTCTTCGTCCTCTTTGCTCACTAAGGCAGACAGAGAACATTTCTCAAGAACGAGGGAACTTGTCTTCAGGCCTAAATCCTTCAGACCGCTCCCCTGGGAGCCCTTGGGCTCCACTTCCTTCACAGCGTCCTCGGGGGGCTTCGGGTGGTCGCTCCTGGGGGCGTTGGAGTCGCCGCCGTCGCCCTCCCCCTCGGAGTCACACTCCTCCTCCTTGATGCTGTAGTTGTTATTGCTTTCCAAGTGCCCGTTCAAGCTGGACAGATTGGAGAGTTCTGAAGCACTTGAAGATAAGGCTTTGGGCCTGTGGCTGCCACTTTCCTCCCCGATGATTTTGCTGAGGAGCTGGAAGGGCTCGTAGATGACTTCGGAAAGGCGGCGTTTAGTGTCTTCGATTTTCGCCTCCATTTCGGGCACTTTAAAAAAGGAGCGAGTGTCAGAGGGGGACGTCAGCGGGGAAGAAGGCGCGGTCTTGGAGTCCCCGGCCGTGCTGCGGGGCTGTGTGAACTGTTTGAACAGGTGCAGGTTGAGTTTGGAGTCAGGGGCCTTGTAGGACACGGCATCCGACTCCTGGCGAGAAGTGTCTGTGGACAGGGACTTGACCAGCGTCTTCATCAAGTGCCTGTGCCGTGGGGGGTGGGGGGATTCTTTTGGCTCCACCTCGGTCGACAGGGACTTCACCAGGCTCATGAAGGGCTTCGCACTGGAAAGGGCGGAGGACGAGGCACTGGATGAAAGGACAGGGGACTTGGAAGGAGACGACAATGGGGACGAAGAACTGGTTTTCTGTTCAGAAAGGGATGACACGCTGGGAGAGCTAGCTAAGGGCCCAGATGAAGACGACCCTGGGGACAGAGCCAGTGGCACTGGACTTAATACTTGCGCTGCTGGAGCAGGGGACTCCAGCAGCTTTACAGTGTTCTCGGAGACGGGCAAAATGGCAGGGGTCTCGGATACAGACAGTCCATCTGCCGGGATGGTGGCGGCAGCAGGGCCCACAGGGTCATGGCCACCCTGGGGTTCAAGATACAGGTCCTCCTTGGCTTCAAGCCCCGTTACAATGCTTTGGTCATCTAGCCCCTCCTCCAGGTACCCCCTGAACTCCTCCTCCTCTTCCTCCTCCTCCTCCCCGGATGCCGAGAAATGAATGGCGATGGTATCTCGGGACACGGACCTCTGCACGTGCACTTTGGGGGCTGATGGTTTTGGCATGTCAATGGTTTTCTCGGCATGGCGACCATTCAGACTTGTCATTGCCGGCTTCGTGAGGGCTCAGGCTCTGTGAGAAACAGCAAGAAAAGCAGACGTTAGAGTGGCTTCTCCACATGCGACAGGGCCACGTGCAGATCCAAGCCCGGAGGGAGCTCAACTTAGAGGGGATTATGCGTTCACACGGCAGATGGCCATAGTTTCTTGCTTTGGAAGGTTCAATGGCTTAATTTTCACCAGATAAATTCCAGCTAGGCATTCTCTTTTATGAGCAAACCACACACCAGCGTTATAAATGCCAAACAATCTGTCTCCCTCACAACTTCTGAAGAACCGCTCCCTCCCTTTAACTGGCTCACTTCTAGCAGCAATTCTCTCCTGCGGGGCTCAAATGAAGCGTCCTGGCGGGTTTAGGGCTCGTGGAATAAGAACGTCACCAGTGGAGTTCCGCCTGTGAAGAGCTAACCCAGGAGGGCTGCTGCGTTCACTGTGGTTTTGCAGCAGCCCTAACGACGTGCGTGCCTCGGATCTCCCGCAGCACCCACGGTCTTGCCATTGCGGTAAGTGGCCAAACATCCAAGTGGGGAGAACTAGACACTAACTATGGCCTGCTGTTCTCAACGGCAAGTGCCATACGGCCAGGGCATTTAGGCAGCTATGATGAGACCTCAGGTAAAACAAGCGTCTACTCAAATGGAAGAAAGCTGAGTGTCAATGCGGTAGCCTACCAGCAAGCATGAATGCCACGGGGGACTACGGGGAGAGACGGGAGACAGGCTCTTCGCCCTTCTTGAGCTCTATAGCTAGGTGGAAGGAAGGCAGCCACCTGCAGAGCTGCTCAGTAGGACAGATAATGCCAAGTGCACCTGTGACATCTAGTTCATGACATCTACATCACCGTGCTTCTAAGGGGCAGCTGACTATGTAGCTCAAGCTGGCTTCAAATGCATGATCCTCCCGTGTAGCCCCCTAACTCTCAAATGCTGGAGACAGTGGTGAGGTCCCACATCTGGCTAATTACAAGCATCTTGCTGGGCACAAGGCACCAAGACAGGTCTCTTGAGCTGGACAGAGACACCACCAGAAGAGCTAGGATATGGGGCAGACATGAGGAGTTCTGAAGACACAAGGCCAAGGTGAGACAGTGGACACCTGTTCTGTCCCCTGAACTAGTGGGCAGTAGTGGCAGGGTGACCAACGTGGACATGGTGTGACCCTAGGGCTGTTCTCTGCCTGCAGGACATGAGGAGGTAGTGGGGGGAGGTGGCCCCAGGTACAAGAGAGGCATTATGGGCGAGTGGAAAGGGCATCTGCCTTGCACAGGGCAACAGGCGTCTCATACTCATTCCTTTCCCAGGGGACTCTGAAGCTCGAGCAAGCCACAACTTGAACAAGCTACAACCTCCGGGTCTCGGTATTATCGGCAACATGGAGGACCTAGGGAATTCTCCCAATGTAAAATCCTACTTGGTTATGCTCACTACATACACGGATAACAGCCTACCACAGGCCATCAACACTGCATTGCTTGCTTATTCCTACCTTTAAGTCTTCTGCCAAACACTACTGTTCCAAGTGCCAGCAACCGATACTACCAATAAAAGAACAGATGGGACCTGGTGTGGCAGGTGTGGGGAATGGTACTCCTAGAGCACCAGGGGGAGGGAACTAGCTAACAATGGCTAAGAGCATGGGAGCCAGGGCCCAGACACCACATGAGCACATCATTTTCACCATCAAATCCATGATGTCTTTGCAAGAGAGTTTTGCTCCGTTCTTCTACGACCTGCAGGCTCTCCTATGGGGTTGGATACAGGAAGAGAGCATCAACCAAACACAGCAATCTACATCCAGCAATGGACAACAGCTTGGAAATTCAGCCTCCAGGACAATTCCTCTCTGGTTTGTTTTGCCTGTAGAAAGGGTCTTGCTATTGTAGGCCTGGCTAGCCTGGAAACTCATAACGTAGACCACACTGGCCTTGAATTCATGGAGATGTCTACATCTGCCTCCTGAGCACTGGGACTCAAGGCAGGCCTAGCTCTTCCCTGCTATCTTTAAGTCAATAGGTCTGTTGGTTATAAAGAAAACAAGACAAAGCAGCCATGGAAACAATGAGAGGGCTTGGGGATTTAGCTCAGTGGTAGAGCGCTTGCCTAGCAAGTGCAAGGCCCTGGGTTCGGTCCTCAGCTCTGAGGGAAAAAAAAGTCAAACAGCTCAGTTTCATTCAGTTCACCTAGCTTTGTAGGAATAATTCTAGATTTCTTTTAATTAAACACATGTGCATGGCTATGTGCACACATGGTATGTGTATGTTCATGTGGGTGCCCAAGAAAGCCAGAGTCATCAGATCCCCTAGAGTTGGAGTTACAGACATTTGTGAGTCACTGATGGTGTGGATGCTGAGAATTGAACTGAGGACCTCTGCAAGAGCAGTCTGTGCTCTTAACCGCTGAGCGGTCTCTCCTGCCCCTCACAGGGGTAATTTTAAAGGAAAATTATAGAGGTCATTTTAAAAGAAAGTTTGGTACTGGCTAATTCTCAGTAAGTTTGCTCACACCAACGGTAAACAAGGCTGTGCTGTTCCGAGGTTGCTTCAGAGGCAACGGTGGCTGCCGAGGGAAGGAGACTACGGGCACAAGGTGAGGACAAAGCATGCACTTTTGAGGCTGGTCTGCTAGGAAGCAGGACAAAGCGAAGAGGTCTAGCTGAAGCAGAAGGCCAGTCTAGGTGAAGGCCAAGGACACAGGGCAAAATATCAGTGGAGTCTGTGGCCTCAACAACCAGGCCAGACTTAGGGACCTCTGCTCAGAAAACTGCTCTTTTGTACCGAGGCCACCAGGGGCCAACTTCCAGACAGACAGGGGCCCAAGACCTGCCAAGTGAGAATGATTTCTGATAATCTCTGATCAACCTGTCCCCAAGTTCCTATCAGTTGAGAAGGCCCGAGATAGGCCTCAGAGAACTGAATGCCAGGCCACCAGATGGGGCAGGCAGTCTGGCCAAGCACTTCAGAGGCTCATTGTAAACAGTGTCAAGTCCACACTGACCGAGCCTGGCTCCAATTCTTAGTCTCACTAAAGCAAGCCAGCGGAGGCTGGGGCACCACGGCCACTGTCCAAACACAAGGACACCTCTGCTGTTGGTTACTGAGGAGACCGACCTGAGCTTCTGCCCAGGGGCCAGTAGAGTCAAAGTGCCAGTTTGCCAGGATCAACCTCTATTTCACTAGAGCCCAGGTCTAGGGGTTCTAGGGGTTCCCAGTTCCTTAGGCTCATTATGAGACCAGGTGAGCAAAGGCTGCTTCTAAGGGGCCAAATCAGTGGTAAACTGAGTAGAACCACCCCATGGTTGGGGTTCTAGACATCAAATCAGGTCTCTTCAAGCTACCTCTTCTCGTCCTTCTTATGGTTGGCTCCAGGGCTCACAGAGCTGACTTCCCAGTCAGTCAGTGTCTTTCAGGAGAGCAAGGCCAGGAGGAAAGTGCAGCCAGATGGGAACACGGTGTGGTCTGCCCCAGCACTGACCAACCATCCAGGGCTTAGATGCGGCCTTCCGACACTCAGGTCTGGACACCCTTCCCACAGCAGCAAACAGCCCTTTTGTCTTGCTTTGTCCTGGCCACAGTAGCTACCCTCTGTGCTCCATCACGATGTTTCCCCATGAGCCAAGAGCTCAGCTCTGGATCAGCAGCATGTGACCAGCTGCACTGAGAAATGAAAGGCCTCCTTATCCATCCCACAATCTAGCATCATAAAAAATGCCAAGCCTCGTGCCCTCTACTGCTAAAACTCAATTATACCCAGGCTTAAAAAAAAAAAAAAAAAAACAAAAAAACAGAAAACCTTCCGCCTCGGAAGCTGAGATGTCAATGTGGATTGCCTTGCCTGCTCATCTCCTCCCAAAGCCACCAGCAAACCTCAAGATGTTGGAGTCTTGCACTGACTTTTGCTTGTGGTGTGAAGTGGATCTTTAGATTTGAAAACTAACCTTGTCACCAGGCTCCCTTAGGGACAATCTCCTGACAGTAATATGTTGAAGCAAATCTGATGTGATCACAGTGTGCTATAGACTGTGTCCAGCACCAGGAGGGCCCGGAGGCAAGGTGGAGGGATGGGCAGCGCCTGGTGTCTGCAAAGGCTGCTGCATTCTTCAGCCTCCATCCTGCTGGCCACAACGAATACAATACACACACACACACACACACACACACACACGCACGCACGCACGCACGCACGCACGCACGCACGCACGCACACACGCACGCACGCACGCACGCGCACACATTTAAATCCTCCGAGAAGCTGAGAAAAAAATGGGCCCTAGAGGGGTTGGAGAGATGGCTCAGTGATTAAGAGCACTGACTGCTCTTCCAGAGGACCAGGGTTCAATTCCCAGCACCCACATGGCCACTCACAACTGTTTGTAATTCCAGTTCCAGAGGACCTGGCACTCACGGCAAAATACCAATGCACGTAAAATAAAAATAAAAAAATAGGGGCTGGAGAGATGGCTCAGAGGTTAAGAGCACTGACTGCTCTTCCAGAGGTCCTGAGTTCAATTCCCAGCACCCACATGGTGGCTCACAACCATCTGTAATGAGATCTGGCGCCCTCTCCTGTATACATAATAAATAAATAAATCTTTAAAAATAAATAAATAAATAAATAAATAAAAGAAATGAGCCCTAGAGGAGAGTATTCTGCCCCCCCCCCACCGCCCCCGCCATGGCTATCCTGGCGAACTGACACTTTCTTCTTTTATCTTCTTTTCACATTGTGTGTGTGTGTGTGTGTGTGTGTGTGTGTGTGTGTGTGTGTGTGTGTGTGTCTGTGTGTGTGTGTCTGTGTGTGTGTACTTGTCCTCTATCCTGTCATGTTTGTCCCGGGGAGGGACCTCAGGTCGTCTGTGAGGATCAGCAGTTGTAAAGTAAGATGTGTGCCCTTGGAAGCCTTCGAGCTGGTGAGGATTCGCTGCAGGGAGGTATGCCAGGCTGTTGGAAGCAGGTGCTCATCGCTCCTCCTTACAAAATGAAGACACATTATAAGGAGGGAATTGAGTGCTGGGAAA